AGTTGCTCATTTTAGGGCCAGTTTTTCAGTGCCAGCTGGCTGACATGTGATTGGCTGATCCTAGTTTAAGCCAGCCAGATCGGGCGTTTAAACCACCCCCGTGTACTGGAAAAGTGGCCCTTAGTGGCAGCGCTTCGAGCGTACTTTTAGCTAATTAATTTTTGTTTCTCAAAAGCAACCCTGCGTGCTTAGAAGGCGTGGGTTCCAATAATTTCATCCCCGAGGAAGGCAGTTGACAAATTCACCCAAGGTTGTTTACTGGTTATATTGTGGTTGAGACACTCTCGATAAGCGGGCACAACTGTTCTGTCTGCTGATGAACTCTCTTCTCTAGCTCTTTAATTTTGGGATAAACAGCCATAAGAGTGATACTTTCGTCAAGCTTAACAGTTTTATTCGGTGGGGAACCTTTGCTCGACCGACGTTTCAGCGACGAGGCAGCAGCAGGCGACATAGCAGAACAGACACAAACAAAAAATGCCAACAATTTAGTTAAATTTTACGGAAGGAAAAATAATAATTGCAGGGCGCCACACTCAGTATTCACGAGAAACGTTGCAAAAATTTAAGCCGCACTTGAGTATAAACAAGTATGGTTGATAAAATAAATCATAACCACACAGATTATGCCGGAAATATAGGAAGAGTCAGAGCGATATGCAAACACGTCCGAACCGCGCAAGTAGTACGAGTTAAATTAATTTATAATAAAATTTTGGAATAGTCAAATCCTCAAAAATACTCATTTTTAATTTTTTTTAAACAATATTGCATTTAAGCTTGATTGAAGTACTAGTCTGTATACATATGTGATATTTTTTGCTTACATAAATGATGAAATCACATTGAGGCTTGTTAAATTTTATCACATTTACTGCCGGTTTCACAAGAAGTTTAAGTGAAACAAGTAAGAAAACCTAAGTTCGGGTGGAGCCGAACATTAAATACCCGGCGCAAGTATTAAATATATGTTTTTTCACCTTTCCGAAAGCTACCGCTAGATGGTAAGCCGGGGGTGTATCAATTTTGAGTAAATTAGCGCGTCCTTAAATTTCGAAATATTGCAGTTTCAAGCATTTCTGAAATTTGCCGTTATATGAAAAGCGGCCGTAATTTTAGTCCGATTTCAATCATTTTCAACGTTTTGCCTTTATGTGGCAAGCACAATAAAAATACCGAGTTTGGTACCAATTGGTAGAACGGTTACCGATATACATACATGTGATCCTAAGTCGGCGGTGCCACGCACATTTTCCAAAATTTTACCATAAACGTATTTCTTGGTAAAGAATTGTTGCAAGCATCAATTTTGAATAAATTAAATTTCGTATTTCTCTAAATTACCGTTATATGGGATATGGGCGTGGTTATTGTCCGATTTGTTTTAATTTTCGGCCATTTAGTATGCTGTACCAAGGCCAACAACTGTGCCAAGTTTGGAAGAAATTGGTGCAGCGGTTACCAAGATATACACATGTAACCATAAGTGGGCGTGGCTACGCCCATTTTCCAAAAATTTATAATATTCTTATTTTTCGTCTGAAAATGATTGTAAATATCCATTTTGAGGGAATTATCTTCAGTAGTTCAGTAAATTACCGTTATATG